ACACATTCCTACAGCCATGGTAAATTAAAATGAAGCATCTGCTTCAAAACACTCTCCTAGATAAAATAACTAAATTATCATTCTTCTTTCTGACTGATGATAAATTCATTTGGAAAATATCAAAATAATTAGTTTAAATATATTCTGTATGGCTCACAAACCAACGCCTAAATGAGTAGAAGGCATAAGGTTATCTAAATGTTATAATTAATGCAACCTTTGTAAGAAAAGATCAAGTTGATTCATGACTAAGAAATAAAAATAATGTAACAAATATAGTCCAATTGTATTTTCCAATAAATAGCATCACAATGTAACTTCAAGAGCACAGAAATCAGAAATGGAAATGTGTATTTTGTAAAAAATATATTTGTACATTATACTTTGCTCCAAAATGCTATTTATTTTTACTTTTTTAAAATAAAAAATAAATTAATAAGGAAATTTAATTTTAATTTTTCCTTATTAAATTATGTACAACTAAATATGAAGCCATTCAGAAACTACATACTAGTTACTAAAAAATGCAACCTGTCAATATGGTACAAAAAATGATTTTTTAAAGGAACTATGCTCCTTTTCTTATCTTTCAGCTAATTTTAAACATTAATTCAGAGTGCACTGTTTCTTATATTAATATAATAACTATTTTAAACCTTCTAAAGTGTAGAATTACACTGAATTACCTTCAAAGATAATTATTTGACATGCTAAATGATCAAATAAGATCAATGATAATATGAAATATATGTAATTAAATGTTCCTAATTTTTTAAAGATAATTCTCCTTTTAAAAGTCGCTTTAGAAACCTGTAGCAATAATTTTAGAAATTACTCACTGATTTTATCATCTGCGTAAAGATAAAGCATTATGATTTAATATTTTTAAATAAGTATACACTGATGACAGTCTTGAAGAACTGTACTTCTACTGTCTTCATCTAACTACAAGACTATAGAGGGGTGGACAAGGATAAGTAAAGAGAAGATATGGAAATATCAAAAAATGAAATAGATCATTCAAAAATTTCCAAATTATCATTTTTCTTCAAGGGAAGAAAGATAAAGCAAAAAGGCATAACCTGCTTTTAATATAGCTCTAGAAAAAAAACTACAATTCAATAGTATTTCTTTTAAAGATGATAAATGGTCTTCAATAACATATCTGATCAAATTGTTTTGAAGGTAATAAACTTTATCATTTCCTACATGTAAATTGTATAGCTTATCTATTCTATCTATGCTGAGAGGAAAAAAAAAGAAAACACCAGAATCAATGTTTTGTCATTCACAAAGCTCAGGTATATACTGGACTACATTTATTTTATTTGAATCAAAAATATAAAAATGACCCATGATCATGACTGCAACATTGTAGTAAACTGGGTAAGGCTAAAATTATCTTACCAGTCTAAGAAAAATTTAAAAACTATATTTCAATACAGTTAATGAACATTAATCTAATGTAAAATATTAAATATACTAACATTCTTGTACTCATTTATGAGATTAAAAAGTTAATTAGCATTTTATCTAAAATTTAATAAAGAATAAAGAAATTCAGAACCAACTACAATGTAATACTATTACTAATACTATTATAAATTCTTTATTCGCAACTGGAATTTTATTAACTCTAAAGATTCCTTAAACTACTATTTTTATAATTTGATTACAGAATAGATTTAAATAGATTTAATGAAATACAACTGAAATAAACTTTTGCTTTAAAAGAATTTTAAACATATATACCACATTTGATCAATTTATTATATGTGAAAAATTATAAATAATTATATACCTGGTAATCAAGCCGTAAAACAGTATATTACTAAACACTTAAAACAACTGTATATAAAAAAATAGAAAAAAATAATTATCATCACATACAGACACATTACAGCCAATAAAAAGAAATTTATTTCCAAGTGGAAAATTCTATGTAACACAATTCCTCACCAATTTTATTTACATTTTCATGTAAGTATGTACAGTGCACATGTATATCATTAAATATCTTCAGGTAATTTTATTTTATTTGAATAAGCCAATGTATTAAATTAACAAACAGCTTTCTCTAAATATCAAAGACACCATTAACAAGTAAAAGGTCTTTCCTAGTTCATCTTAAAACTAGAATGAAACAATATCGCCATCTAGTGTTCATATCAACTAAACACTTCCAATACAAATGTCATACTTGTTTTTCACTTAAGAAATTAAGTGTTGTATAGGTTAAATACAAATTGTCATTCCTATGGGCAAGAATATAGTTTTGATGGATGAATAAAAGGAGAAAAACAGAAAAGGTCACTGGGAGTCAATAGGAAGAAAAAGAAAATAAGGTTTGCAGGAGAAATACCCTTCTTTTGGATGTGATTTCTGCCACATTTTGTTCTTAAAACAACTAACAGCGAATATGTTACTTGTTGGTCTTGGATACTTTATTGACCAATCAAAAGTAACGGCCACCTCCTTAGGGTTAGTTGTATCATCGCTTTGTAGTGCCCCACCCTTTGCATCCCAAATGGAATCCACTGAGACCAAGTCCTAAGTGATATGTCATCAAATGAACATAAACTCAGTAAAGCCATGTTTTAAATATACAAAACTATTCTGATTACTGCTAATGAGAGGGAAAAGAATAAAAAGTTGTTTCAAGTTGTTAAAGTTGAAAAGAATTTCACTTTGTTAAAAAAAAAAATTTGACCTTGGGTCAAATTGTTTCTTAATTACAGTATTACAAGCATTGTTCAAAACAAAGACAGGTGGAATTGTTCATCTATAATCAAAGCCTGCTGCTGGAAAGCCTTCGGCCAAGTCTGGAAGCTGCCACTGATTTGCTATGTGGCCTTGGGCAGATCTCTCATGCATTCTGACCTCAGGTCCTTCTCTTTAAAGATTAACTTAGTATGTGAGGAGACTTTATAAGAAGCAAAATGCTCTACCAATGTAAGGTACAACCTGTGAGGTACCAACAAGCAAGGTGTGGTGGGTGGTGGCGGCAGTATCACTACTAGATCACACTATAATGACTGCTACCACTACAATACAATCCCGTCCTCTTTCAACTAAACCAGTGCGACAGTTCACAAATGTGCCTTGCTTTTTCCTAGTCCTATCCTTGTGGTCAGATTATCTTCCTTCATAAATCTCTAGTCTAACTAAACTCCATCCATTGGAAATAAGATGTCAGCTAATTTTATCTATTATTTTTCCTTTTATTTACCCATTTTCTCATTTCTGTACAATAAAAACAGATCACTTACTTAAATTAGACATATTTAAAGAAAAAAAATCCTCCTCATTCTCCACAGCCCAGCTCCATTTTTTCACCTTGTCTGTGAAGTCATCTCCTTCTTTCATCCTGCCCAATCCGGAAGTGATCTCTCTCTGCTCTAAACTTCTCAGCAGCACTAACTAGCTTTCATTTACAGCCTTACAACATTATTTTTATGTACATGTTTTATCCCCCCAGAATAAATGATAAGCTCTCTGAAAGGAAAAAACATTTATTATCCTTCTTTGTGTCCCCCAGAAAGGTAATTTTTGGGCACCTGGGAAGTACAATTATGTGATACAAATACCTTCCTCCTCTGCTTAGAAGTACCTCACTTCCCTAAGCTTTTCACATGGGCAATGTCATTTATCCTCTCTGAGGCCCAATTCCTTACAATAAACATAGTAATACTTATTTCATAGTTATTGTAACAGCAAAAATCAAACAAAAACTCATGTATTCCATGTAGAAAGCTATTAATAAAATGTAAAGTTTAACTAAAAATTACTTTTCAGACAAAGCGTTTTTAAAATATATATAGAAAAAAAGTCTCCATAATACAGATTAAAAACTGAATTATGTAAATTTTTAAAATTATTGGCATCAGGGCTACCAATCCACCTACCTACTTAGTTATATACACAGTCTAATAACTGACTAGATTAGAACACAGTAAAGGTAGACAAGATTTTCTATAAGTGCTGACATAAAAATTATCTAACTTCAATGTTAAGTCAAATGAAGAACATGTATGTTTGGTTCGCAAGGCCTTCTTTAAATGAAGAATTAAAAGTTACCACCACACATTAAATTACAAAGTCTAATATCCACTCAGGGACCAAATATATTTGCAGTGAATTAAAATTTAAATGTTATTATTTACATAAAAACTTATACATAAAACAAAACTTATACATAAAACAAAATACTCACTGCAACATCTCAGGTGGCTTTACTTTTCAATAAATAGTAGTTATACCATTTGCTTTTTCTTCTATCCATTCATACATACCATGTGCTTAGTATTGTTTTTCTGCTCCATTTAAGAAATATACTAAATTTTTAATAAATAGGTTTTTCTTAAAATGGCAACTAAAAAACACTTTAACTTTATTAAATACGTCATAGTTCCTATTTTTACGCTACTGCTGCCATCTAGTGAAAATTTTGAGAACTCAATCATTCTGGAAAATAGGTCATTCTGGAAAACTTTTTAAAAAATGCATACTGTCAACCTGCAAGGTATATACTAGTATACATATGAGGAATAAGGATAATAAGATTACTTCTTTGTAAATAATTTTTTAAATTTAATTTTCATTACATTATATTTTGATATTATTGGGTTGTCGGAAAAGTCATGACGTATTTTTTTCTGTTTTTTGTTGCAATAAAATTCATCAATTTAATCATGAAGCCTCGTTTATTTATTCAGCAATTATAATCATTTAATTTAAAAATTCTTCTGTTAAAAAAAGAGAAAAAAACGAACATCAAGCTGTTTTTATCAAGTATACCTATAAATATATGCAAATTCAGTAATACCCTCAAAGATTCTATATTTGGAATTTTCAATTACCAAGAACACTGTTCTATATTATATAGCTAAAACACTAACATGCTGACCAAAGTTATAAATACCTAAAACTCTACCAACTATACTACCTGAAAAATTCCAAAAAAATAAAGATGACAGATAATAACCTATCATTAAGCTTACCTGGGAAAAGATATTTGCTGTTGGAGCAACTCTGCTGTCCACAATACTATATAATATTGCTAATAATCTATCTAGTGGAAATGGTTTTGGTCCAAGGAGATGATTGCTTGTCTGTAAGAGAAAAAACATGGATTTTCTTCTCAAGCAGAAAACTCACTTACTGTACTATAAATTCCCAATAACAATATATTTGTACTCTACAGCTCCCCAAAGATGCTAACAAACCCAACTCTCAGTCTCTACATTAAAACTCTGATGTAATCATGATTTATCCCTTAACATTTTCTTCAAGATTTTATGACTTAGCATCAACAAATATTAACTAAAGAATTCACAAGTCATTCAGCCTAGTCCAAAACATCACCCCTATTTTGCTATTGTAACCAGATGTTAAGTGACTTAGCTAAGTCATTTTGTCAAGATAGTATATAACCAAAGCCAGGGTCTAGGTCCTAGCCTAGAACTTACTACTTACTTCTCACCATTCCTCTTTGTGCCACAGGCTGGGAAATATATTTGTTCATCATTAACAGGTCAAGAAAGATCAGTTATAGTGAATACTAGCTTAGAAAACTAATAAAATGTTTTATAAAAAGTTTAAGGACTGTAAAAAAAAAAGAATGAATGACAAAAAAAAAAGTTTAAGGACTGTAAGATGTTCACACTGGTGTACAGTCATATGGTATAATGACTTGTCATTAGAAAGCTGCAGTGCTCGAAGTCCACTGGTAGGTGATTTTAGTAGCCATGTAAGAATTTAAGTACTCTATACTATCAATGGCAAATAAAATGGGAAGCTATATTTACATGCATGGGAATAACTATTTCTTTACAGAAGAATGGCTATGAAGAAAAACACCTACTCAATTATAAAAGGAAGTATTTACCTCAGCTATTTATATCTAAAAGATAGTTTAAAAATCATTTTCCAAGTCTAAATCATTTTCCAAGTCTTATTTTATATGCTTTTCTCATTAAATACTTCAAACATTTACAGAGGTTAACATAATAAATACCAATGTACACAACAAATTTTATCAAACCCTAACATGCAATATGTGCAAGGAAATAAAACATTAAATCACAAGTAAGTTGAAGCTCCCTTGCACTCCTCTCACATCCCACTGTCCCTATCCCTCCCTAAAAAAAACCACAATCCAGAATTTGGTGTTTTTACCACTTTCATGACAGTTTTATACTATATACATATCCATAAACAATGTACAGCATTGTTTGATTTAAATTTTACATAAATAATATCATTTTGGACATAGCACTTTACCAAATTTCCTTCTTCCTTCGACATTATTTTTGAGATATATCCATGTGACACATATAGCTCTAGTCCACTTTTAAACTACCCCACAGAATTCCATTTTATGACAAATCACTATCTACTTTTAAAAATTCATCACTATCACAGATAATACTGTGATGGACACTCCTGTGACATTTTCCCGTGTGCACGTGTGAGTTTCTCTCAGTGGGGTTGCTAAATTGAAGTACAGGGCAGAGACAATGCTATGTGTTCACCAACACTGTTCTTGGGGACACAGGGGGACTACATTTCTCAGTCTTGCATTTAAATGGAGGCCATGCGACTGTGTTCTGGCCAGTGGAATATGGGTAAAAGTGAGGTAAGCTACTTCTAGGCCTGGCCTTTCAAACTATAGGATCCTTTAGTCTTCTTTCCCTTTGATGGCAACTTTGGAGGCCACCATGTTTCACTTGACATAAGATGAGGGAATGCTCCCAACTCATATTCAATTGTGTCATGAGCAATATATAAGCCTTTGTTAAGTTAAGCCACTGAGGGTTGGGGCTTTATTTTTTACTGCAGCATAGCTCAGCCTAACCTGACCAAAACAAAGGACCTTCCCACATTAACTTTATGAGATATCGCCAACCTACAGAACATACAGGCTCTTATTCTTCCACATTTTCACCAACACTCAGAAACATCAGGCGTTTTTTTCAGTTTTGCCAATCTGAGAGTGTGAAATACCTCACTGTTGTTTAAAGTTGCATTTCTCTCATTAGTGAATGAGGCTGATAATCATGTCATGTTTTGTTAGACAGTCAAGTTCATGTTTGTATCATTTACCCATTTATCGGCTGGATTTTTGCTGTTTTCTTGTTGGCTTGTATGACTCTTTAAAAACTGTAGATACAAATCATTTGTCAGTTGTATGAGTTTAAGAACTGAAGTTAACATCATGGTAGGCTTTGAAGTCAGACAGTCCTGGAATTGGCTGCTAGTTCCACCACATTCACTGTGCAATCTTGAGCAAGTTATAAAGTTTCTCTTTAATACTCAAGCATCCTCATCCAGAAATGAGGATGATAAGAGTAACCACATTCACAGGTCACTGTGAGAACTGAGAACGTATGCAGAGCTTAACGGTGTTTGGCTTGTAGGTGCTCACCAGCTTTTAGTATTATCATCATGATACACTTGTTGATGTGGGGTTTGTTTTTTTTCTTTTCTAGACAAATGTCTTGAAAACAATGTTTTTATTCACCTTTTTATCCCTAGCACTTGGGATTGTTAACTAAATAAATGGATAAATGGATAATGAATACAGTGGTGTTAGAGAAAAGAAAAAAATTCAGGCAAATGTTGAGATATCTAAATGGAATTGGTGTCCCTGTCCTCATTAACACTTAGAAGTGACTTGAGGTTAGGAAAAATCAGCTAAATTCCTGAAGCGTTGGGAATAATGTGGGAGGCAATTAAGGTTGAGAATTACATTGTGAAAGCTGCTGATCTTTTTTGATTTTCATTTTTGTTTTTATTTTGTGATTAAAAAACACATTTTCAATTTAAAATTAAAGTGTCCTAGTGGCATGTGCAAGGCATATGATATTTATTTTCTTCACCGAACTGACTGTGTGTGCTACAAATGCAAACTGGCTTCCCACCTAGTGAGGAAGGCAAAGTCTGAGGTATACCTCCTAGATACACGACAGGTCATTAGAGAGAACGAAGGCCTACAAGAATGGAAGAGAGAATCGAAAAAGGAAACCAAGTAAAATAATTTTTGAGGAGGTGGAACAGAATCAAAATTGGTGTAGAGTCAAGAATGTTAGAAACAGGAACATAAACTTAGAGTTATGAATATTTATGTCAGAAAAACGAAAACTAGAAACTAGTTAAAAGAAGTTGCCTTCAAGGGATGGGGCTAAGGGTGATGAGAGGAAAAGGACTTGCTTTTCCACATAAACTAATTGCAAGCAATCTGGTACCGTACACATGTATTAACTGATTAAAAAGTAAAATCTTAAAAAAATCAATGTCAGCTGAGGACACACAGAGAAAAAGAATTATACAATTGAAGATGTTATTAATAGATTAAAGACAACTGTTGTGATAATTCTATGTGTGGTTTGCTTTTTAATGTCTGGCGCCTGACTAAATTGAGAGCTTCACGAGAGCAGAGATAATGACTATTTTGTTCTCCACTATATCTGTAGCATCTAGCACAGTGCTTGACATAAAGTAAGCATTCAATCAAGATTTCAGGAAGAGAGTGAAAAAAATATAAAAAAACAACAACAACTAGGGGCCGGCCGAGTGGCTCAGTTGGTTAAGAGCTAGCTCAAGAGTGCAAGCTTTGAGCAACAGGGTTGCCGGTTCAATTCCCGGCCCAAGCTGAGCTGCTGACAGGTGGCAGGATGGCTCAGCTAAAAAAACAAACAAACAAACAAAAAACAACAACTAGTAAATATACACAGGGAACTTTCAGATAAGCTCATATTTTAGAACATGAACCAAAGACAAAAGAGACTACTATGAAAGTCAAATCTGTAAGAATAACATCAGAAGAACTAGAGTTCATCTAGAACTCGAGACAGCTACATGACGCCTCTGCTCAGACAGTTCCCTGTCAACACACTGTCCTTTTCCTAGATTTGTACAAATCCACTCATTCCACAAGGAGGGGCTCCAGTGCCAGTCCTTTCACAGCCCTCACTCATCTTCATCACTCATATTATCTCCCTCCTCAGATTTCTTAAATGATTTTCCCCGTCTAAAGGATAAAATTCTTAGCTTTATGTTCACTCTTTAATTTTTTTCATTCATTCATTCCATGTATTCATTTGTTCAATAAACACCCATCAAATACCATCAAGTGCTGAGACACTGGGCTGAAGAGATCAGCTTCCTTCCCTTAGGAACTAGCGAGTGAGGCTCTTCCTCCACAATCTAGCCTCCAGTGCCTTTTCTCTGAAACTTACCACACACGCCAGCCAACTATATTTCATTATTTCTTTTATATGCCCTATATTTTCTCACATCTGCTTCTTGGCTTAAATCATTTCTGCAACTGAAATGTCTTCCTCTCCCATCTTACCATGTCCAATCCTCACCATTGTTGAGTGCCCACTCAAATGCAAGTCCTACCACAAATTCTTGCCTGACCAATCCAGGTATAAGTCCTCTCTCCTACCAATCCTGTATGGCCCAAACCAGCCCCACATGTAAGAAAGAGGGTACAAAATCAACAATCTGCCGATAGTGGAAAACCTAATCAGAGATGTCTCAGTGAAAGGGCACACTGGAGAAATCTTTCCAACCCAAGCAAACGGTTTTGGTAAGGGAATTTCCCTTCCAAACTCTGGCATTGTGTGGGAGGAAAAAGTCTTCCCTGAGAATTTTACCTATAAGCTAGGGTTAACAATGATGTGGGGGCAGAATTCACAATCTTTGTGGTCTGAAAATCCACATGCTGAGAATTGAACTTCAAATGATCCCAGGTTACTTACTGGTGGTCCTACGTGCCTGCACAGAAGTCAATGAAGTCCTTTTTAAAGGAACACACCTCGGGTCTCAAAAGTGCCAAAGATTAAGTTGGGGCAACTAAAAGTAATGTTCAGGAAACAAGGCATACGTGCATGATACAGTAAAAACAGAAAATGTGGAATTAGACCAACAAGGACTTCTAATATTGGAATATAAGATAAAGAATATAAAACAGGTATTTTCATGTTAAAGAAAACTATGACTAGAAAAAGTATAAAAGTGAATAAACTTGAAATGAACCAATAAAATTTCTAAAAATTACAAATTAAGATTACCAAAATTACAAAGCTGATGTAAATAGCAGAACAAAGCTGAAGAGAAAATCTGTTCATCAATTGAAGAAATTACCCAGAATATAGCACAGAGACCAAAAGGAATGAAGAATGAGAACGAGTTAAGAGACAAAGAGGGCAGAGTGAGAAAGCTTATCATGTCTAATCAGTATCTCAGGAAGGCATGGTAGAGAGAACAGAAAAGAGGCAATATTTGGAAAGTGAATGATGAGAATTTATCAAAAATGAAAAAAGGCATCATTCAAATTCAGGAAGCAAAATTAATCACACGTAAAAAGAAATTCAATCCCAGACACACCACAGTAAAACTCTAAAAGCACTAAAGGAAAAGGAGAAAAGAACTTAAAAGCAGCTAGAGAAAACAGATAAAGGAATAAAAAAACAGACTTTTTCAGTAGAAACAATAAAGCCAGGAGACAGTAAAACAATGCTTTCAAAGTCCTTAGAAAACACTATTACTTCAGAAGCGTGCAATGAGCAAAACCACTTTTACGAATGAGAGCAAGAAACAAAAGTCACAGCTTCTGTACTGCAAAGTTTACATTTCAAACCTCTATCTTCTGCCAAGAGAAGCAGCAGTGGCTTAGATATACGAAGTGGAACAATGTTCTTTTCAACTTCCTACCCCAAAACCCCATCTCCAAGGTACTGAGTGCCTCTAATTCCTGAGCTTTTCCAGATTTCTCAGGTCAAATCAGCCTCCTGGAGGTTAGGTTTCAGCCTCTCTGGTGGGCTGAGTCACCTGCGTATCTACCTACTACGCAATTCCAAATTTTGTGCTTCTCTCATCTGCTTAATCCTTTATATGTTTACGCCTCTTATTTCTTCAATATCATTTTTGTGGGTGTTTCAAATGGGAAAAAAAAATCAGCTGTGTTTAATTAAAAATCCCAGGGTGATTTTTTTCACCTATTAATTCACTTAAAAAGACTTGTCAATTACTTTTCTCTCTAGTACCAGCTCCCCTGAATGCGCCTTCAATCGCTGTATTCAACATAACAAAATACTGTACTAGTACAGTATTATAATGGTACCACAGCAATATAAATAACTTCTTATATCCAAGTGACTAATAAAAGATGCATTTATCCACTTCCTACAGAATCCTAAATTCATGAGTTTTTCCCATTAGAGAAATTAAAATGTAAATACCTTCTCATGTTTCTTTAGAAAGTTGGTTTTCTTGATTTTCCCATGATGCTGCAATTAAGGAAAATAATTTTTAAGATGAAAAAAAAGATAGTATTCCACAAAAACAGAAAACATAATTTGTTTAAAATATGGAATACATAATACTAATTTATGTATCTTAGGCTTTTTAATTTTATTCTACTTATCGTTTAAAATACCACCTTAAAATATCAACATATTTATTTTAGGCCAATTTGACTTAGATTTCAATTGTATACAAATTACTTTTACATGTGAAGAAAAAGGTTTTTAAAATAAAATAGTTATATTTCCCAAAAGAACTTACATTGACTTACTACAGCATATTTATTTGTATAAAAACAAAAATTCTAAAGATAAATGGGTTTTTATTCATCTCTTAAGGGCAGGCAGGCTGTCAATTTACATGAAAACACTAATTGAGAGCATTTAGTTAAGTATTTGGGATTCAATAGAAGAAAAAAAAAATAGATATGGTCCTTGCCCTCATGAAACTAAAGATGAGTGGGAGAGATAGGCAAAAAAATAAAAATTTATTATAAATATATTTCATAATAAATAAAGTTGCATATTACTGTTTTCAAAAAGAAAACAATTCTAAAATGGGATTTCTTCAGCTAATGTACACGCAGAAGAGGCTCTTGAAGGTTCTAGATAATGGTGTATGGAGTACATGACACTACAGCTGGAGCTCGAGAACAATAAAAGTTACTATCCTTAAAATTATTCCCATCTCTCATATTTGAAACAAAACCTTATTTATGTATTTTTCAAATCTAGAATTATTACCTAAGGCATACCTGAACTCTTTTGTGAGACTATTTTTCCCATTCAGGTTCTGATCTTAATTTAAAGTCTTTAAAGGATGAGTCCTAAATACATATTTAGCAATCTCTTATTCTAATCTCTGCCCCTTAGAAATTTACAGGTGTTGAGAAATTTCAAAATATTCCTGGGGTCTTCAAAAATTAAGTGAAAAGAATTATTACCTTAAGGAAGAACCTCTTGTCAGTTCTTGCTGGATTATATGAAGCGAGGTATGCAGCAATTAGGATAAACTTAGAGTAATAGGGAAGTTCCACATGAGTATATGCTGAGAGACCTACACAACAAAAAACTGTTATGAAGGCATTTCCTAGGCTGCCGTTAGATTTCAATATCTCATCTTTTCTCTTTTATCTTTTGACTTCCATATGTCATTCTCTAGTCAAAATGATCTACTCCTTGAGCTTAAAGTGCCGTGTAACAATGGTGGTGGCAGTGAACATTATTACTGATATGCTTTGCTCATTCTATCTTTTTGTTTGGCTTCTATTCTGAAGTCTACATCCTACAGATCCTGCCCTTCAAAGCCACACTCTCCATTAAACCTTCCATCATGCTTCCCTACCGCACCAAAATAGAAAAATCTGTCCTCCTCTACTATGAATTCCTACTTTGTGTATTTTACTTACAGCCCATGTAACTTTACACCTTGTATTAACAGTTACCGTATTTGCCGGCGTATAAGACGACTGGGCGTATAAGACGACCCCCTAACATTTCCATTCAAAATACAGAGTTTGTTATATACTCGTCGTATAAGACTACCCCCTCTTCCGCACACCTTCCACACACCAAATAAAAGGTAAAACAATATCAGATTTGCCACTGAAGTGCAAACAAGCGTATTGTATTTCGTGTCACCACATAACCGTTTTGGCGATGTTGAGCCACCATGTCTGCTACATGTTTTTCGAGTTCTGGCCAGTGTGGGGTGCCTCTTCTTAATGCACACTTACCCCTTGGCATACTCTTTAATGCTTTCTCATTTGATTTCCAGTCCCGAACCATCTTTTCTGTTACTCCATATTGTCTTGCAGCAGCACAATTATTATTTTCCTTAGCAAAGTTTATAACTTTCAGTTTAAAATTTGCATCATACTTCTTTCTTTTGGCTGGTGCCATGATAGGGATGATAGGGGTTTGACTGGTCGACATTTTCTATGCTGTACTGTACAATGGTGCAGTATTGTGGTTGGCTGTTGGCTGTATACAAAGCCTGATTTGATTGGTCCCTGCTCCCTGTTTGCCCGCCCTGTCACTATAGCAGTCTGGTCCACCCTTGCATCAGCATCTCCCTGGGACCTCACTAGTGCGCAAGTGCGAGCTCTTCAACATTCTAACAGGCACCATGATAGCGCAAAATCGCGAATCTTCAATGCATATGTAAAGAAATATACGGTAACCCGAATTTATCCCATCGCCAAAATCCATAACAGCCGAGCATACACCCAGCAGCGCTGCTGATGCCTGAACGGTATGTGGAATGAAGTGGGCGGGCATCGGGAGGCCACTATGGCACGGGGCAAGCACTATGGGCAGTCTATCTGAAGTGTACCTGGCGTATAAGACGACCCCCCACTTGGAGGCATATTTTTCAGGGCCAAAAAATCGTCTTATACGCCGGCAAATACGGTAATTATAGTAAAATTATATTTCTTACCAAGTTATACTGTTCACTGAAGTAGCCACACCTATTTTTTTTTTTTTTATCTAGTGCCTTTCACAAAGGAAATAATTGAATGAATGGATAAATACAACAACTGGATCAATCAAGCAGCAGTGATTTTTTTGAGGGAAGAAGGAATCTGACATTTATTGAAAACACAGTATGTGTCAAACACTGTGCTAGGTGCTTTATTTAACCATCTCTGAATCTTTGCAGTAGTTTAAAGCTAAATATTCTTCCCATTTTAGATGAAGACATTGAACTGCGCCCAAAGTCACGTAGTCAGGGAGTAGTGCAGACCAATTATTGCAGGTTTTCTAATGCCAGCACCTACTTCTTTCCATTAAAACACACAACTGAAAATCACTTGTATAGCATCTCGAACATTGAGACACCAAAAAAGACAAAACAGAATCTCAACGGCACTTCATTTCATACCACTTCTCTCAACCACTAACCACTGATATATTTTTTAAATAAAAATACCTTACTCACTTATTTTTTTTAAAAAGTAAAAGTTGTTATATTGGTATAAATCCGAAGTAGTAGTTTCTTTAAAGAAAACATAAGCAAAACACTTTTAAAACATAAGCAACTGAAATACATCCCCCAAACTAGATTAACACAAAATTGGGTTTTATTCCATAAAACTCATACATATGGAGATAAAAATACATCATATAATTGTTTTAACAAAAGCATTTAACAAAATACAAACTGCCTGATTTTTGTCTAATAATAATTTAGCATTTAGGAAACAGAAAACTGATAGTCATACTTTCTCACTTTCTCCCATTAAATTGGAGGTTCATTTAAAAGAAAACCATAAATTAAAAAATCATTACAGGTTATAAAGTAAATTTACTTTTATAACACTACTGACTGTTGTTATCTGTAGTATTAACTTTAGTGTCTTGATTATTAGTAATCAAATAAAGAAATGTCTCTGGTAATTGTCTCAATACTTCCTTTGATACCTTTCAGTTGTCCTGGGTCTATGTCATCTTTCTGTAGCTTTTCCCACTGTGAGCTGAAAGAAAATAGAAAAATAATAGGTTGAAAATATACTAAATCAATACACTGTACTTGAAACAGAGTCCTACAAAAATTAAAATTTTAAATTTATTTACAAAGATTCAATGTCCCTATAAACAAGTAATGTATTGGGGGTGCCAAAAAAAATGTATACACTTGAGTTATATTCATCTTTTGTTATTGGTATATATTATTACAATTTTAATAGCTTTTCCTTCCTTAAAATATATGTACATTTTTTGGCACCTTCTGTATACATGCAATATGAGGTCTGGCAATTAAGTTTGCAAACTCATCCTAGAAAAAGTGCTGCATACCTGATTGCTGAATATCACTATGGTCACCTTCAAAGTACTCCCTTTGGGAAGCTATGCACCAATGCCAGCGCCTAGTCTACCCTTGAAAGCAATTTTGGAACTCTTTTTCTGGAATGATCATCAGAGCTATCGTCGTATTATCCTTGCTGTCCTGAATGTCATCAAAATGTCTTCCTTTCAACATTTCCCCCATCTTCGGGTAAAGAAAGAAGTCACTGGGGCCAAATCAGGTGAGTAGGGAGGGTGTTCCAATACAGTTATTTGTTTACTGGCTAAAAACTCCATCACAGACAGTACAGTGTGAGCTGGTGCATTGTCGTGGTGTGTGAGCCATGAATTGTTGGCGAAAAGTTAAGGTCATCTAACTTTTTCATGCAGCCTTTTCAGCACTTCCAAATAGTAAACTTGGCTAACTGTTTGTTCATTTGGTACAAATTCATAATGAATAATCCCTCTGATATCAAAAAAGGTTAGCAACATCATTGCAACAAGTTCGCAAACTTAATTATCAGACCTCATATACACGTTTGTGCCTCTATAAAATCATTTAGTGTATATTAAAATAACATAAACTCATATATCAACACTCAGATGTTCATTTTTAAGAATCTCTTTCCCTCTGATCATAATTATAAAGCTATCAAAAAGTACCAACAAATAAATAATATCACCTATCATTCAGTCAAACTCCCAATGTTCCAATTACCATATCAGATACAATTGTTATACGCAATTTCTAAATTTCTTAACAATCTCTTACAGTAAGTATCATTACATCAGAACCCTGAGGCCCACAGGTTAAGTTACCCAAGGACATTCAACCTCAGTCAATAGCTGAGCTAAGAACTGAATCCCTGTAGAATGCCTGCAGAGTTCATGCTATTTCCACTGCCCCATTCTTACTTGTAGTTAAACTGTTAAACAGCCCTAAATATTATTAAGACTATGAAGTGATTATAATATGTCAAACAAATTCACAAGAAAACACACCACAGTGTAGTGAAAAGACTTCCCTGGAGACAGAAGTTTTAGTTGTACGACCCAAAATAAATCATTAACCTTCTCATCGAAAATGCAGTTAGATGCAATGATCGGTAAGGACCCCCTCCAACTCTAAAAACTATCTTACATGGCTCTTAAAATGCTAATTTAAAAGTAAATGCCATAGCAAATCAATTAAAGACCCTAATTCAAACTGTACACATTTTTTCAAGTCTGCAAGCACAGTTTTGGAGAGCAAACCTAGCATAACAAGCTGACTTCAAAACAGATAATTTCCTCCACCTTATGGTTGAACAGTGTTTCAAAGATTAGAAAGTATTTTCACATTCATTACTTCTTATAAGTGCCAACAAAAATAAATTTTTATCAGTTACAATGTTATAACTCAAGACTTTGCAATTTTAAATTGATAAGATTTTATTACATAGCAATTACCCATTTAATGTTGTCATTTAAACTCTCAAAGGACAACCAGGGAAAAACTGACCATGTTTAATGGAAAGAGAGGAGACTGACATTTACTAAATGTCTATCATGAATCCAGCTCTTAACATATTCCATTTAACCCACATAAACTTTTGAAATAGACTATCATTTTTCTTTTTTTACAAATGACAAAACTGACAGAGAGGTTCACCAATTTGACCAACGTTGACTAAGGAAGAAGATGCCTTTGCATATATAAAGATACATATATTTGCCTATTTTTGAAAAAAGATACAGAGAAGAGAGCAGAAATTCTATATGTGGTTATGAAAAGAGTGAAAGGGATAGGATGGATGTGAAACTTCTTTGAGTACACTTTTCTTAAAATGTAGTTTTAACTTCCGAATTATTCTTTGACATTCACCTCTTCAAACAACAATGAGTTTGTTGTACTTTGCCCTTTCTCTCTCCCTTCGCTTCGTATATTTTAACTTTGTAACTGTCAGAACATGTAAAATAATATATATACATGTATTATATATGCATATATAATATATGTATTATATTCATATATACACTACATACATATATATATACATATATAAAATTATTCTTCTACCTTTGTTTCCATCTTTTAGTTTTGAGCGAAAACTAATTAGATTTACTGCTCATCATAAATCCTTGTGCTAGTTTCCCCAGTCATCTCTGTTGCACCAACACTGTCATTAGTAGACTATTCAGGAGTTTATGAGCATAGTGTTCCGAGTTCTTACATATTTAAAACTGTTTTTCTATAGCCCTGATATTTGAATGACAGATTGGCTAGATATAAAATTCCTTGCCTTACACTTCCTTTTTCCTTGAGTTTCTTGAAAATATTGCTATACTTCTTGTCTTTACTAGATTTACTTTCCTTTGAAAGTGGTCAATCTTTTTGCCTAGGTCACAGATGTTTTTTTCTTTAATGTTTATTTTTAAAGCTAAAAGTATAAGAAAGTCTGTAACAGGCTGAATAATAGTCCCTAAGATGTCCATGGATATCCCTGGAACCTGTGAATATTACTTTACGTGGTAAAAGGGACTTTACAGATGTGACTGAGTTAAGGATCTTGAGGTGGGGATGTTAGTCTGAATTAACCAGGTAGGCCCAATGTTATCAGGATTCTTTTAAGAGAAAGACAGGAGGTCAGAGAGAAGATAAAATGATATATTACTGGCTTTGAAGACAGAGGAAGGAACATAAGCCTAGGAATGCAGGTAACCTCTAGGTGTTGAAAAAAACAAACAAAAAAACCCAGATTCTCCCCAAAAGCCTCCAAGAAGGAATGCAGTCCTACGTCAGAAGTCCCATTTTAGACTTCTGACATCCAGAAATCCTAAGAAAATAAATGTGTTGTTTTAAGCTACTAATTTGTGGTAATTTGTTACAGAGTGATAGATTAGGGCAGTCTCTCCAAATTGACTATTCTAAGTCAAATGGAAAGATGAATCCTTTATTAGGTAGAGCCAGGTGTTCTTTTACTTCTGGAAAGTTTTCTTAGATTATAGTTTTAGATCTTAATTCATATCCATTGTTTTCTTTCTTCAAGAACTCCAGTCATACATACATTGACTCTTCTTTGCCTATCACAATTATTACATTCTACTTGATTATTTTTAGCTCTTAGTTTTGTCCTCTTGGTTGTTTTCATGCCTCTCCTCATTATCCTTTATTATATTCTCAATTGAATGCATTCTCCCTTGGAAATCTTACAATTGCATTTTCATTTCTGAGTGATTACTTTTGCTTGAATTCCATTCATGAGATTGGTTAATTTTTGTTTCCCATCCTCTTCTTTGCCATTTATTCTGAATTGTTAAATTTCTAATTTAAGGTATTTTTTCATATCTGAAAATACTGGTTTAAAAATTTTAAATCAAGTTGGAATATTGTGTTACATCTTCCTCTGCTTTATTTTGGATAGGAAGAGGGCAATTTTCTCAGATGAAATTTAGCAGGGCCTGGTTAGGACCCCTATAGCAGAGGCCTCACCGCGACCCCAGCCTCACCTTTCCTTGACCTACAGCTTAGTAATAGATTGTCCCCCCGCGGCTTGAGCTCAGAATGTCCAGTCCCAGTTCCCTGTTTCAGAAAATTACCCTGAAACTTATGATTAATACCCTTATGCTTATTGATCAGAATCTCTATGGTCTAGCATTCTTTCCAGGCTACTCTCATCATTACTCCTGGGTTGCTGACACCACCGGAGAATCACGTGGCCACAAGGAGATCTCCATGTAGACCATAGGAGCCGTCACGTAACCTCTGGTATGAGAATGTAAGGCAGTTTTTGGAGGTGTTAACCCACTGCCTTCTCAGACCACCAGTGCTCTGATAATAAACACTTATCCTATAGCCCAACTCCTGTGTTGGTCTATTGGCTGAGCAGCACAAGCCCTGGACTCCGCTGCCCTCCAGTTTCAAAATGTTTTATTCACATATTCTGTTTCTTCTTATAATACCTTTTCCAGGCTTTTCCATTGTGTTTTCTGTTCATTTTGAAATCACCAAGGTTTGTGTAGATCAGCAAATAGATGATTCTATGACTGCAGAGGTAAGGGTTTTGGATGATTCAGATTTCTTAATTCTGAAGTCCTTTTTTCTTTAAGAATAATGAAGTACAGTTTCTTTAATACATAGTGCCATTTGAACGGGAAAGGATTGTCTTACTTTCTGATTTTGTCATCTATTTGTTTGACAGTCAGAGGTGGGGGCAGGCAGTGGGAAGGGTGTTAACCTTATTTTTATCCTCTGCTTCTGTCTTCACTACCAAGCCTCCAGGGGATGCCCTGTCCTTCCAAATCACCTCCCTGTTTCCTGTCAGAGACAGAGACAGTCCTTCCCCAGGACTGCCATGCTAGTTCTTGTCCTACATACTCTTAAAACACTTCCTTCTTATCCTCTAGTAGGCAGTACTCGAATCCTTCAGGTCTCAGACCTGTTGTAGTTTTCTCACTCTGGTTAGACTTTCTTTCTGGAGATTTCCTCTGTATTTCACCACTAGCAATCAAGCCATCCCCTGACCCACTGTTCTCTCCTCTATTCCTTGCAGTCTTGGCTTACTTGCACTTCAACAAGAACAAGAGCTCCAGAACTGGCTCTGCAGACTTCAGTTATTTCACTATTTACATATAAATTGAATTTGTAGTCAACTCTATAGACTCCTAGTTATTCTGCAGGTAAGGGTTATAAGTGGTTTTATTTGCCTTTGTTATTGATCTGGTAAAGATAACAGAATTTAGATGGTCATCACTATCCTATGGAAAACTGTCAGTCTTTTCATTGTTATGTAAGAATTGTTTTAACATCAAATTTTTCTACCTTTAAAGGAGTAGATCACAAGCTTTTCTATTCTGTGACTTCCAAAACCTCTCATCAATGGCTTTTTATTATTGAAAAGAAGAATAACAGTATCTTTGTAATGTTTCTACTGTTTCAGAGACTATTAAATTTTAACCTGAGTTATAATCTAATCAGTGAATAATTTGAAAGCAAAGTTAGTAAAGTAGCTTAGAGAATAAGGGATTTATGAGAGAAAAATAATAATAAAATTGGCTAGAAATTAAGAAAAGTAGATACCTTTGATGTTTTTAAATTTCTTATGTTGCTTTGTAACCTAGGCTTAATCTAACATCTATAACGCACTTTATTATTCACAAGTCACTTTCACATATAATATTTAAACCTTCTAAGGAGGAAGCTGAGGACTGGGGTTTTTAGGTGACTTGCTAAGACCACATAAGGCAGAAAATGGCTGAGCTGGAAATCAAAACCATGTTCTTCCCACTACACTATGTGCCACCATGTCTCCTGAGCAGTTTCATTACTAGGAAATTCTAGTAAAAGACAAATGTAGTTTTACGATTCAATTTAAACATTTCCTTTATAATCAAATTTTCATACCATTCAAATATCTAACAAATACAAAAAAACAAACCTAAAACTGATTTTCCTGTAGCTATTCAGATTTTTAAATTTTTCAATTGTTTCAAATTGTGTAACATATCGGTTAAAAACTGTCCTTCCCAAAACAATAAGAAATAATTCAAACCTCCAGAGTTTTTTCCCAATATGAAGAAGGTAAAGCAAAACATGTATATTTTAGTAAATATCCCAAATAAAGAAATGAGTATTACCTTGATACTTCTCTGAGATAAACAGTCTGCATGGCTTTCTTCAAATGAGGTTCAATATTTCTCCAGAGTTTGCGAGTATCACGTTCATTTGCTACCCCAAATGAGAGAAAATTTCAATAATTTAGTACTTACAAAATTTTTTTCAAAAGAAATAATAAATAAAATTACATAGTTACCTTCTCCTTTAACCACAGGTTCACAATATTTTTGAAAATTAAGTACTGCCTGTAAGCAAAGAAAAAAAGTAGTTATCTACCACAATTAGGACTTATTTTTCAAGTAAAATTTTTATTACAATTCAGGCAATTTTACTTCAACATAATTGCTCAAGTAATATGTTGTTATAGCTTATTACTACAAAAATATCAATAATGGTTGCAAAACAATATGTAAAATATTCCTAAATTGACTAAATCCTTCCCTAATGTATTAGCCCTGAGATACAAAGTAATATAACAAAGCATAATTTGTAATTTTGGGTTATAATTATGTCACAAAGGACCAGACATACAATAAAATACATGTGTCCCCAAAAATTAACCTGTTATTTCAAGGTCTGATCAGTCTCATAAATTAAGCATCATCTAATTCAGTACAACTCAAATTATTTCAACTGGTAGCACTGCCAGAGACTTACAAATTCAAGTTCTTGGCACCATCCTAGCCAGGCATACTAGATCAGGGTCTCTGAGGATGATTCCAAGGAACCTATGTTTTAACAATCTCTCCAGGATTCTGAAGTCTGAGAAGCACTAACTAATCATATTACTTAGTAGTAGTTTTCCATGAATTAGCAATGCATTCTACTGGAAGGTTGCTTAAGCAAATTGAGTAAGTGTAATTGTCCTGTCTGTATACTTAAGTAAACCTATAAAACCTACCCCTTACTAACAAGTGGAAGTTTACAAACAAAATATCTGTCCACATACAAAATACTTTTCACAACTTTGGCTATTAACAATTCAAATATGCTCTCCAATATTATGCCCATTTCTCCGACATTAATCCTCAAATATAGGCAAATTCCCACTTCCTTTATTAGGATTATTTACAACGAAATCTATATTCAAGCCCACTGGTATTTTAAACTGTCCTCCCAACTACCCAGAGACTAGAAATAAAAAGGCTATTAACAAAATCACAAAATAATTCCAAAACCCAAGCAGATGGCTTTTTGATATTATGCATTTTTCACTACCACTATACATTCTCCCACATAACTCCTCATTATTCCTTAACTTTTAAGTATATAGTTTACTCTTAACTAGTTGCATTCATGAAAAGGTGAAGGAGGAGAGGCATAACTTTATTAAGAAATAACCAAGTGCTCGGGGAATACTAGTACTTATAACAGTAACAGAAGCATAATTATCAAGAACTAATTATAGCCATCTGTTACCTCATTTATTCCTGACAAGTACACTTTTATTATGCCCATTTGTCAGCTGAGGGAACAGAGCAAAATACAATTTGCCTACAGGCACACAGAGATTACAATGCCTGAATTTATGATCGTGGATCTGTGAGATGTTCTGGGAATTTACTTCAAAACAAATTAAGGATGCCATGTTATCAAAGCCTGATTCAGGTGAAACAGAAAACAAAGACATACCGTATTTTGCTGTGTATAATGCGCACGCACTTTTTGTGCCCAAACTTTCAGGGGAAAAAATCTTTCATTTTCATTTTTTAATTCCAATTTTTATTTGTGTACATTTAGGTACTTCTTTTTTGTATTATAAAGGAATTTTAGCATTTACTTTTTAATATATTATGGTACAAGAAATTTATGTAACACATAATTACAAAACACAAGAACAGATAAAAGGTACAAGAAATTTTATGTACTGGTAACAAATTTACGGTATTTACACATCATGAAAGGGCAAGAACGCTTCGTCATTGCAAGTTCATCGTAAATTCAACAAAACCAATTATTGTATTCCAGGGTATTATTTTGCATACGGATATCGTAGAATTAAAAACATTTATATAGATATGGAATTAGTACTACCCATGTATAATGTGCATCCTTATTTTTCCCTCACAAATTTGGGCCAAATATTGCACATTATACACTGCAAAACATGGTACTTTGTTTTTATTGGGCTTCACAGATATTGTGTTTTTCACGAATTAAAGGCAAGACCCTCTACCAGGAAAAAGGCTATGACTTGCTTTATTGTGACACTCTCTATTTAGAGTGGTCTGGAACCCAACCTGCAATATCTTCCGAGGTATGCCTGTATTTCCCTTACATTGCAAAGAAAACCTTGCATTACTTTCAGAAGCAAAACAATGTATAAAGAATACTGAGTATACGGCCTGCCACAAGATAGGAGAGGCAATTTGGGAAGCTTTTCCAACTCTTCCTCAGTGAGATTTTCAAAAAGCCTTCATTACTGTATTTGAAATTATTTGTTAGAAAATAATCTGATACATGTACACTGTAATAAGCAGAATTCTTAGACCCTAAGACTGCCGGACCCTAGTGTGCACACACCTTCTCTCAGTTATTCAATACAAAACTAATTTAGGCATTGCTGTGAAGGGGTTTTGTAAATGCAATTAGGTCCCAAGAATCACACTATTAATGGAGAGTTAAAATAAGGAGGCGAGCAGATAAGTCTGACCTAATTACATGAGCCCTTTAAAAGCAAAGTTTCCCCTGGCTGGTCACAGAAGTCAGAGGTGACTGGGTGTATAAGGATTCAACATGCCCTTGTTGGCTTGTAGATGAGGGCCACGTGGCAAAGAATGTGAGTGATCTAAGCCAGAGAGAGACAGCCAGCAAGGGAACTTTGGGCCCGTTCTTACAACCTAGAGGCACTGGATTGTCAACAACCTGAATGAACTTCGAAGCGGTTTTCCCCGTCTCGAGATGAGAACTCAGGTCAGCCAAAACTTTAATTTTAGCCATGTGATATCCTGAGCAGAGAAGCCAACAACACAGTGCCTGGATTTCTGACCTACAGAACTGTGTGCTAATAAATGTGCGTTGTTTTAAGCCACTGCATTTATGGTAATTTTTATGCAGCAACAGAAAACTAATTCATACATCATTTAATATTCCAAATGATGCTATGAGGTGGACATTATTATTATCTCCATTTTACAGAGAAGTTAATTATGCTTCGGATCTGACTTCCACTTCTTTGATCAGCTAGAGAAAAATTCACCCTTTAAAGGACTCATGGGATTAGGTCAGAACCACCCTGATAATTGCGCTATCTTAAAATAGGATATGAAGCCAGGCTGATAACGAAAAAATAAGTAAGTTGAAATTCAGATGAGGAACAAGATATTTACAAGTTTTCAAAGTACCTTCCCACAAAATACATATTAATTACAAAGGGAAAAAAATACCATCTTAATCAAATGATCAAAGTGAATATTACCAGTAATGAGATAAAATCAAATCTTGTAACACCTGATAGGCAGGATGCAATGAACACATAGCATCATTTCTGTGATATTCCTGTCAGATACACAACCTGAATCTAATCATGAAGAAACTTTACACAAATCCAACTTGACGGAGATTCTACAAAACAACTAGCCTGTAACCTTCAAAGGTCTCAAGGTCTTGAAAGTCAAAGACTGAGAATGTTCCAGATGAAAGTTCAAGAGACATGACAACTAACATGTAATATGGGATTCTGAACTGAATTATTTTGCTCTTAAGTACATTATTGGAACAACTGGCAAATCTTGAATAGGGTCTAAGCATCAGATTGTAGAAATAAATCATTTTCTGATTTTGATCACTGCTGTAGTTATGTAGGAGAATGTCTTTGTAGAAAACACACACTAAGCATTCAGCAGTGATGGGGCATCAAACTTACTCTCAAATGTTTTGGGGAAAAAAAAGGAAAAGTTGTTTTTACTATATTTGCAATTTTTCTATAAATTAAAATTGCTTCCAAAATTTTTAAGTAAAATTTTAAAACAGCCAATACTTTCATTATCTCATAAATACTGTATCTAATAAAATAATTAGAGCAAACTATTAACATGTCAATGCCACTGAATGTGGTCGTGATACAAAAAGAAATCTTAATTATCCAAGGCCATAAGTAAAGGCCTAACTACAAAGACTGTCTCAAATACCACTTCCCGCTCACTCCTTGTCTAAAGAAGACTATGTGACTTATCAGAATATGCCACAGCTCCATTTAACATGGATGAATCTCTCTAAATGTTGAGCAAAAGTAGATAGATTTAAAAAGAATACATGCCTTGCTAGGGAGACCGCATCATGGATGGCGAAGAGGCTTGATCACTGCACTGTACACCTGAAGCTGATGTTGTATAATATTGTATGTCA